TGGCATCATCTTTGTCATAGCATCATGATGCAAATGACAGAAATTATGTAATGATGTCACCATGTCCTTTCTTGATTGATCCAGCAGATATATGTATTTCTTTGTGTTTTGTACTGTTGATCTATAAAGAAAAAAGAAAAGCTGCACTTTTGTCAATTATGTCACTCTCATCCTGGTTCTCTCCTGAGAGTCCATAAACGTTTCTGTTTAATTTTTACATGATTAACATCTCCTCCAGACCTTTAAAATTCAAAGTATTAAATGCCTTCTTCTCTTTAAAGTTCCTGAGGTTCCTGAGATTCCTGAGGTTCCTGAGGAAGTGGTCCCCGAAGAGGAGGTGGTCTCTGAAGAGGAAGTGGTCCCCGAAGAGGAAGTCTATGTTCCTGAGGTCAAAAAGCCCGTGCCACCTCCTGCCAAAGGTACAAATTGGGACTTGTACTATCATACAGGAAAGGCTGACCAGGAATTTTTGACCAAAGGGCATATTTAGAAATTTGAAATCCTATTTGGAGTGCTCCCCTAGAATGGCTTCCATGGACCAGAGGACTGGCTGATGCAAACTCTGGATATCAGAAGGCAAAGAGAGTTCTAAGCATGCATTACTAAAAGATAAAGTGAAGAAGTTGCCCCCTCTTTCTCCCTCATTCTCTTCCCCCCACCCCCAAAAAGTTTTTTCAAATCCCAATATACACCTTCCTTTAAGAAAAAAAAATTGTACAGCTGGGCACGCTGTTCAGACAAAGCCCTGAGCCGAAGCCATTCCTCTTCCAGCATGTTTGTTTTCTAGAAATATATGGACAACCTCCGTAGGGTCCAGAAGAATTTCTCTAAATAAAAATGATGCTAGAGGTTCATGTTTTGTTTTACAGCTTTCCCTGTTAATTTTGCTTCCGTAAGTTTTTTGCAGATTTAAGTAATTGACTCAACTGTAAAAAATATACTATCTTTAAAGTTCCAGAAGTGCCCAAGAAAGTCATCCCAGAAGAAAAAGTTCCCGTGAAAAAGCCAGAACCTCCACCCCCCAAAGGTATACGTTAGTATATTAGACAAAAAAAAAAGCGACTTGAGCATTTAGTGATTTTGTTTGTATTCAGAACAAAACATTCAAAAATTAATACTAACTACTATATTTTAAAGTGCCAAAAGTTCGCAAGGAAGTTGTTCCAGAAGAGAGACCTGCTGAACCAGAGGCTCCGCCTACTAAAGGTACTTGCCACCATTATTCTAAACACTTGGCACTGATTCTTTCCTCTTCCAGTGAATGTGAGCAACAGTTGTATAATCTGGCAGTAGTAGCTAAGATCTGTAGAAAGAGAAAATACATGGACTTTATGAAAATTCAGATGAATATGTAATAGGGGAACATCTTCATTCTTTTTTCATGTGAGCATCAGGCCTTCATAGAACAGAAAGACTAAGAAATGAGGTGTCGGTTGAACCCACTGGTAAACTTCATGGCTCTAGCTGTATATACTGGAAAGAAAATATGAAAGGATGGATACAAGTGGGAAAGGCGAAATATAAGAACAGAGAGAAATAGAAGGATTTGTATTGCTTGTGCCGGAAGAGTACAAGAGAAATTGATATTTGTATGTCTTCAACAGTGTTACTGTTTTTGTCTTTGGTGTCCATTGTTTCATTGTTCCAAATCTTTTATATCTTTGATACTGCAAATTCAAAGCCAATCTTTATCTTTTAAGTGCCTGAAATGCCCAAGAAAATTCTCCCAGAAGAAAAAGTCCCTAAGAAACCAGAACCTTCTGCTAAAGGTATCTGTCAGGACTGAATTAAATACAGAGTCAAAGCTTTGGATATGATTCTGCTTGTAAAACTCAGTGTAAAAACTTGAATTTCTGTACTCCAATGTTTAAATAACAAATAGCATTTAATTTATTATGTTTTACTGAGTTGTGGCACTGTTATGTTTAGATGGAATGATCCAGCCCCAACTACTGTAAGCACGGTTAAGGTTGCAATTTTATTCATATTTCCTTGAGAGTACGTCCACTTTTTCAAGAAATATGCATAAAGTTGCTCCATATGTCCCACTGGTTTAAATGGAACAGTTAGGCATCGAATGAATAGGCTTTTTAAAAAAAAAATGCTTATCTTTGGAAAAATGTTTCCAGTTGTGTGGAAGGATATTTTAAATATTTAAATACAAGTTTGGCGGCCTTTTGTTTACTTTAATAAAATGCCATGTAAATAATTCTGGCTTGAGGCCTGTGGCCTGAATAGAACTCTTAGGCAGTATTTTTGCCCTGCTAAGGAACATACCCAAACTTCACAAGTCATAAGTTGTACAAAATCATGATGTATTCCCACAAATGACTATATAGTTTGGAGTTATCTGTGATCTTAAACATTGTGACTTGTTTAAAATTGTGGCTCAGAGCTATGTACGTAAAGACCGCCTAAACATATGAAGTGCAACTGCATTATAAATATATAAAAGCAAAGAAAGACTATGGTATTTGGGATACATAGTCAAAACAATAGGCTGATGTATACTTTGAACAATATGACATATATAATGTTTTATATCTTCATGTTATATGTTTCATTGTTGCCTGGTGCTTCATATACTGCACTGGAATTAATAATAGTTTTAAAAAATCCAAACAAATATTCTTAGAGTGTCTGAGATACTCAAGTAAGTAGTAACTAAAGAGAACGTTCCTATGCTCAAAAACAAAGATGCTGGTTTGTAAAGAGTAATATCTTGCCTTGTAATATCTTCTTATAATAATTAAGAAAAAAAATATTTTTCATCTTCTCTGTTGATTAATCTTTGGGTATACTTTTCAGAATATGTTTCTTTTGTGTGCTCAGTGTGACTTCTTATACGTAGATAGTAATTTTGATCTTTATACCTCAACTGGGAATCCAGATAAATCATCATTGCTGTTTTGATAGATCACTTTGAGCGTAGAAGCATGTAGAAGTTATTTATATCATTACTTCAAGTTTTGGCATTTTCATTTGTGATATGTTTCATTGGTCTTTCTGAGTGAGTAGTAAAAATTAATTAATTAATATCTTTCAAGTGCCTGAAGTGCCCAAAAAGGTGATTGTGGAAGAAGAAGAGCCAATTCCTGTGCTTAAAAAGCCGGTACTTAAAAAACCAGAACCTCCACCTGTTAAAGGTACATCTCACCATTAATGAAGCTATAAATAATTGTTTATGAGTTGGGCAGCTAACTACTTCTTGTCCTGTTGATGCCTTGTGGCTGAAGATTCATTTGTAAATAGTGCCGTTGGCATAGTCCAATGAGTTATAATGCTTAGTTGTGTGCATCTTCATCAGAAGTGTTCTCTGTATTCCTTAACACGGGATGCACAATGGCTGATTTTGTTATGCTTTTTTATTGTGTTTCATTGTTTTTGTGCCTCCTCTTACACTTACTCTTACTCTTACTCTTACTCTTACTTTGCATCATCATATCAGCTAAATATCTTTAACAATTCTTAAAGAATGCTAACATCTCTTAACATTCCAAAATGTGTCAGAAATGTTTGCCGATAAAAAAGTAATTCTTGTTTTATCTAAAGAACCAGAGCATATTGCAGTGATAGAAGAGCCAGAACCAGTGGCTGTGACTGAAGAACCAGAAGCTATTATTCAGGTGGAAGAAACTAAAGTCACTGTTAGGGTTGAAGAACCTAAACCTGCTATTGTGACTAAGAAACCAGCTGTGCCTAAGAAACCAGCTGTGCTTAAGAAACCTGAACCTCCACCAGTTAAAGAGGCTTTGCCTTATGAAGAAGAACGAGAAATCCAGACAGTTATTGGATACAAAGAAGAGAAATTTGTGGCTATTCACCAAGATTTAGAACCCATTGCTGCATTAGAAGAACCTGAGCAAGCTGCTGTGTTTGAAGTAACAGAGCCTGAAGAATACATTTTGGAAGAACGAGAGGTCATTATTTTGCCTGAAGAACCTGAACCTGTTGCTGAACCTGAAGAACCAGCTGTTGTGCCAGTTGCGGCACCTAAGAAACCAGAACCAGCTGTTCCTAAAAAGCCAGTTGTGGCAGTGCCCAAAAAGCCCAAAGTTACTCCCGTGCCTAAAAAACCTGAACCTGTAGAACTGCCTAAGAAACCAGTATTCAAGATTAAAAAACCAGAACGTCCAGAGCATCCACCAGAAATCTTGGAACATAAAGAAGAAAAAGAAATACAAACATTCATTGCACACAGAGAAGAGAAACATGTGGCTGTGTACAAAGATGAGGTTAAGGTTATTACTGCACTTGAAGAACCTGAACGGACTTCAGTTTTTGAATTAGCAGAGCCTGAAGAATATGTTCTTGAAGAACCAGAGGCCATTGTTTCACCTGAAGAACCTGAACCTGCTTTTGTTCCTGAAGAACCCGAAGTCACTGCCATTCCTGAAGAACTCGAAGTTGCTCCTGTTCCTGAAGAACTCGAAGTTGCTCCTGTTCCTGAAGAACTCGAAGTTGCTCCTGTTCCTGAAGAACCTCCTGCAGTACCTAAAAAACCCATTGAGGTTCCTAAAAAAGTCATTCCTCCTCCTGAAAAACCTGCCCCAGCCATTATACCGAAAAAGCCAAAGCCAGTTGCTGTGCCCAAAAAACCAGAACCAGCTGTGCCCAAAAAACCAGAACCCGTGGCATTGTTCAAGAAGCCTAAGCTTACTCCTGTGCCTAAAAAAGTAGAACCATCTAAGAAACCAGAACCTGAATTTAAAAAACCAGAACTTCCACCAGAAACCTTGGATTATGAAGAAGAACGAGAGGTACAAACGTTCATTGGATATAAAGAACGGAAATATGTGCCTGTTCACCAAGACGTAGAGGCCATCACTGCATTTGAAGAACCTGAAAGTGTTTCAGCTTTTGAAGTAACGGAACCTGAACTATATATCCTTGAAGTACCAGAGGAAGTTGAGGAGCCTGAACCTGTTGTTGTCCCTGAAGAACCTGAAATCACTATAGTTCCTGAAGAACCTGAACGCCTGCCAGTTAAAGGTACACAGTGTAATGTTTTGTACAGCAAAAAGAGAATGTCTCTTCTATAAATCAGAATTTTGACAATTATTGTGAAAGCATTCTGTTCAGAAAAACAAAAAACAATTTTAGGTCAAGTTACTGTAGATTGTATGCAAATATTTGTTCTGCATGTCTGCCAAAATGGGGATAAATGGAAAAAGCAAACAAACAATAAGGCAAAAGTATTATTTTGATTCTGGAAAAGAATTTGCATATATTTGCAAAAATAGAAAGTATGTTAAAGTATTAGTAAATCAGACACATTAAATCTATGTATGTTATTAGTACAATGCAAAGGGTTTCAAATTTGAACCTTTTTGAACTTGAAACTCTCTATAGTGTAGGTGAAATAGTTGTTCAGTGTTTTAAGAGGCTGCTTTGATCATTTTAAACTTGTACCAGATCCATTTTGAGCTTGGAATAACAACCCATTTAGAATGGAAAGCACTTTTTCCCCCCATTTGTTTTGAGTTTGAAATGGATTATTTTGAATTCAAAATATATGTATAGAATGATTGTATGTATAGAAGTAGATTCATGTAAAATTATGCATTTGCAGTTGGATGAGCTAGTATATAAGCCTGTACAGTATATAGCTACTCAGAAGTAAATTCAGTCAAACTCACTCTCAGGTAAGGCATGTTTAGGAATACAGCCTTAATGTCTGTTATGCCTGTGGATTTATGCTTCTCTTTTCTTAACAAATTGACTAATATCTTTAAAGTGCCCGAATTACCCACGAAAAAAGTTCCAGAAAAGAAAGTACCAGCTAAAAAACTCAAGCCACCACCAGCTAAAGGTACATGTCAATGATAAATGTACCTAAACAAGATAATTCTTCTATTTTAATATTTCTTAAAAACTTCTCTTCTGTAGTATCTCTTCTGAAATCTTAGAATTCATCTTATGCATGTGTGTATGTGTGTAATGTTTACATATATGTCTGTATCATCAGTCGTGTTTTTGAGAAGTCTTTATCTGTTCTTCATATTTGGTCTTGTTTATGTTTATATTTTCAAAGTAAAAAGAAACCTATTATCTTGAAAGTACCTCAAGAGTCCGCCAAAAGAACAGAGAAGAAATTGCAGTTTTTCACTTTAAAAACTCAGAATCTCTTTGTCATCCCCTGAGAAGTTACCTTCACTATGTTATAACTGTATTTTCTTTGTGTTAGTTCTGTTGTTGGATTTATAAATTGCATTCATGTCCATTATTTGCATGATGGACATAAGTCAGAGTGGGGGAGAGATTATGGTGGAATCCATTTTCATGTGAGCGGATGTCTCTACTCATGAAGTAGAGCTTTCAGCTCCTGTCCTCCATTCAAAAGCCTCTGCATGCCCGCAAAATAAGCCCTTTCAGGGCAAAACAAATATTACATTTATATCCCACTGTAATCTACCTAAGGACTCTCAGTGGTTAAAAATGTTAAAAAGTAGTCATAATTTAAACTATTCATGATGTTTTACATACCCCAGTATAATAATCCACAAAAGTAAAACATACTAAAATCTTTTGAAGTGCCCAAGAAGGCAGTGCCAGAAGAAAAAGTGCCTGTCGCTGTGCCTAAAGAACTAGAACGTCCACCAGCCAAAGGTATACGTCCTCATCGATGCCATGTGCCTATATATATATGTGCGTTGTGTGTATAGATTGTGTATTTGTGTTGTTCTTTATAAAATATTTGGTTAGAGAAAGTCATAGGTTTTGCACTGATTCATATTCAAAGGCAAAAGGGTGCTTCAAAGCATAGGTGGGGGGGGGCTCATAGAGACCCTCTCTAGAACTCCTTAAAGCAACCGCATCTTTTCCTGGGATGATGAGGCTGCAGCCGATCCCCACTTGTCTTCGGAGTGGCGGGCAGCTGCTCCAAGCAGGCTCCTGTGTGCTCCAAGGTCCAGAGCACCTGCGCGTGTGTCTTAGTCTTAACTTGTACATTGTGTTAACTGTTATATTTTGAGTCCTGATGTTTCAAGTACCCCGTATAACATTCACCAAAGTAAAACATACTAAAATCTTTTGAAGTGCTCAAAGTGCCTAAGAAGGCAGTGCCAGAAGAAAAAGTGCCTGTCGCTGTGCCTGAAGAGCCAGAACTCCCACCAGCCAAAGGTATACGTCCTCATCGATGCCATGTGCCTATGTATATATGTACATTGCGTGTGTAGGTAGACTGTGTATTTGTGTTGTTCTTTATAAAATATTTGGTTAGTCGGAGTCATAGATTTTGCACTGCTTCAGATTCAAAAGCAAAAGGGTGCTTTAAAGCATGGGGGAGACACATGGAGACCCTCTCTAGAACTCCTTAAAGCAACCACATCTTTCCCTGGGCTGATGAGGCTGCAGTTGATCCCCATTTGGCTTCAGACTTGCGGGCAGCTGCTCCAAGCAGGCTCCTGTGTGCTCCAGATCAAAAGCACTTGCACGTGCGTCTTAGTCTTAACTTCTAGTCCTGATGTTTCAAGTACCCCATATAACATTCACCAAAGTAAAACGTACTAAAATCTTTTGAAGTGCCCGAAGTGCCTAAGAAGGCAGTGCCAGAAGAAAAAGTGCCCGTCGCTGTGCCTGAAGAGCCAGAACTCCCACCAGTGGAAGGTAGATGTCTTCACTGCCACCATTTTTTCCACACTTTTGCTTCTGCTTGGTTTGTCCTGATGTTTTATGCTGTCGTGTATAGATGTGTATAGTATCGTGTGTGTGTTTGTGTGTGGGGTGCAGGTAGTGTACTCATGCTTTCTTTATAAAATACTCCTAGCCAAAGAGAGGAAGAGAGTGGCTGCCCAGCACTTCTGATTCAAGGCCAAAAAGGTGCTTTAGAGCACTCAGGGCCACTCATGGAAACCTGTCTGCCATTCCTTAAAACAGCTGCCTCTTTCTCCAGGATGGTGTGGTGATCTCAGGAAAAGCCATGTTGGTTTAAAGAGTTGCAGATAGATGCAATATGCATGCTCCAAAGCACCTTTTTTGCCTACAAATCCAAAACCCTGTCCTGCAGTTGTATGGTAAATTTTCATTGTTTGCAACCATGAAAAGGCCATATTTCAATACTTATTTTATAAGGCAGAAAAAGCTAAGCATTTTAAGTCCCATTAAGTGATATACACTCCTTAACCAACTATTTGCATATGCAGAGGCAAGTTATATAGGTCTGGAGTCCAAATGGATTGCCTGCCAACACACTAGCTTAGGTAAAGCTTCCTTCAAGCTGAGCTCAGCCCCTGCCTGGTGATTTCATATATCCATGAAGTTTTTTAAACAACAGGGCCTGGTTTACCACTGTCTTCTTCCAGGATGTTCTGTTGACTTTCCAATCTAGCCTATCACCCTGGGATTTCCTGGTAGCCTGTTACCCAAGTACTAAGGAGGTCTAACCATGATTAGCTTTTCAAGATTAGCCAAGGTCACCTAGGTACTGCCACCAGCTTACATATATGGAAATCTACACTGTATCATGGCTGTGGTGTGTGTCCATGAATGAATATGTTGAAGTCCAAGCAGTGTGGTGTTTTAGTTCTCTTTGCCATTCAGCCTTTGAAATGAAGATCTTATGCTAGTTATCAATATTCTTTAAAGAGCCAGAAGGTTTTGAGGAAATTGAAGTTGAAGAACCTGTTCCTATTCCAGAAAAAGAAGAGATAATTCCAGTAGAAGGTATATATCTCATAGGATGAGTAATACTTCTTTCTTTTGCATGTTCATCTCCATCTTATAGGGATTATATATGTTCATTTGGTGATATACATGTTGTTTTTATTTCTGTGTCTATATACTGTCATTTGTATTTGTGGTGTCTTAATTTCTGTGGAACATTCACATTAGTTTTTTGGTTATGAAAACAATTATTAATAGGATTTAGAGGAATAGTCTTAAAGGTTTGTTACTACTATTTTGGAGTTGATATTTTGGTGTTCATCGTATCAGATATTTTAATCTGAATTATTTTATATTATAGTTTAGATATTATATATACATATATGTATACGTATATATAATATTATATTGTATTATATGCACTTGCTTTATTGAAATTTTACTAATGGTATCCATAGAGGGACTTTCTCTGATACATTAGATGTTTTCACCTGAAGTATATAGCACAATTATGCTTGCCCTAAAATCTGTCACCGTATCATTTAAAGAACCAGAGCCAGAAAAGAAGATAATCCCCAAACCCAAACCCCGTGTTCCTATCCCACCGAAAGAGGACATTAAGGAGGCAAAGGTTCAGCTGAAAGGTATAAGAAGCAATCACAAGCAGTTTTCAATCTTATTAAGCCCCAGCTATTATAACTAATGCATATCTGATGCAGAATAACCTTTTCTGAAAGTATGGCATCTTTGGGCTGCCATCCTATATCTAATTTACTTGGGAATAAGCCCCATTGCACTCACTAGGACTTATCTCTCAGTAAACAAGTATAGGATTGCGCCATTAATACATTAATGAATTATTAACTGGATGTTTTCTGAATAGTTTTTATTCTAACATTGCTATTTGCTAATGACTGATTTACTAAGATTACCCAATATTGTCTTATTCTCTGAGTTCATGCGTTAAGGTCCATTAAAGGATTAACCATTTAAATATTCCCACTATTTCTAAATGTTTAAATTTTACTTTATGTGTGCTCCAAGAGTTACACCTGCCCACTTGTAGGACTTTTTAGTAGTATAGCAAGTTAGAAACTACATACCACAAAGTTCTAAAATTTGGTAGCATTTTAAAGTCCAAAGTGAGCTGAATAGATCTAAGAATTTTTATAGCTTTGGAAATACATGATAGGGATAATATTTATTTAGAAGTATATATGTATAGAAGCCAAAGCTGAAGCAATGATAAAAGAAAGCAAATATGATTTTTATTTCTGGTACATGAAAAGAAACAAATTAACAAAAGAAACAAATATATTTAACATTATTTTCCATTTTATTTAATATTCTGACTGAAAACAAGAGTCTGAGTTTTCTTTCTCAAGAATTTTTCTTGCTTTACTTATATTTTCACTATGGAGATTCTTATGGGAAACTAAATTTTATTTATTTATTTATTTATTTATTTATTTATTTATTTATTAAATTTCTCCCCCGCCCATCTCCC